GTTCTGGGTGGTCAACCGGGGTGTCCCATATAAGTCCTACAGAGCCTTGGAAAAGACCAGAGTGATTCACATTGGGTAGGGTCTTCATTTCCGTTGCTTCAATAGAACCGGCCGATAGCAAGTGCCCTGACCTCTGAAAGAAATACGATGGGGACGATGGGTGCTATATCGAGCACATTCCATCGCCCCATAATTCGTTTGGGCACTCCGATTCGTACCTTTAGGAGGATTCTTCCAGGGGTTCACCAGAAGAACCACACGGAAGTGCGGAACCCTTCTCTTTCTCCAGAAGAGGAGCCAAGGAGTCTTTCTTTCTTTTGGGGGTCCATGTTGCACCATAAAAGGTGAGTCACTCAGCGGTGAGAGATACAGAACAGCCTCGCGTTTGCTTGCTTCTTCATTACCCTACCGAAGAACTCACATCGACCTTCTTGACAAACCGGTGCAGCTGCTTAGGAACACAGGGTGTCCAGACTGAGGATGCCCTTCAGCCCCGCCGCCGCCGGGGTCCCGTTCGACTCTCCGGACCCTTCCACCGGATGCAGGAGGAGCTTGGCCTTGTCGCCGGACGGCGCGTTGTTCGCCTCCGGGGCGGCGGACAGCAGCGTGCCGCCGGCGAGGGGTTTGACTCCCTCGGAGTCGCTTCGGGGCGAGGACCTTCGGGGACGTGCGGGGGGGTCGGAGGACGCGACCACCGAAGGCTAAGGAGCAGGAAAGGAGTGGTCTTTTTTGGGGTATTTTGGGGGGGTCCCATCCAGTGAGTGTGAGAATGGGCAACCCCGACTTCCTCCAAGTGCACCCCTTTTGCGACTGCTGGGATTGATATGGCCGCTGTTGGTGTTGTTTTCTTCTACATGTTTCACTGGTTCTCAAATTCATTCTTCTGGTTCTGCTGATTCGGAGGGTGCACATTGTGGGCCAGCACGCTTTGGTCAAATCTGCATGGAGAAGCTGCTTCGGGCACATGTCCGACCGAAAGCCGCGTGATGAATGGGACCTCCGCGCTTCGCCCCCACGCCTCGCGGCGTTCACCCAAAACATGAACCGCGTTGGCTTCCACAGAGGTGAGCAGTCTTCCAGCTCTTGCGAGCGTCGAATATTTCAGCGCTGGACCCCAAGACTCGAGAGACCAGTGACCAACTCAAAACCAGGGTGCGGAAGAAAAAACGAAACAAACGGAACAACGGAGGCGCCGTCTTCCGGCGCGCCGCCGAACCACGTCTTCCGGCTAGCGCCGAAGAAGCCAGGTGCGTCTTTGGGCGCTGAAGCCCTATGGCCTCCGAGCCTTGGAAGACTTCGTTCGCGACGTGCGAAGTGCCGGGCTCGTGAGTGGGTCGTTGAGTCGGGGCCCTCCGAGGTCGTGGGAGTGGTCGGATCGGCGCGGGGATCGAGTTCGGGATTCGATGGGTTGGGGATGGGCGATGGAAACCGACCAGCGACCTGCCATTCCAACCCAGAACGGCACATGGCACAGGCCCATTTCACAGACATGGCACATTCCCAAGCCCAGTGTGAGAAAATCTCGAAGGGTGAAAACTTCGAAGGCCTATCAGAGCTGTGTTCCCAATCCCTATCATCCCTTCGATCCCTTCATGCCACCTCACCTGCCCGTTTCATGCTTTCCCACTTCGCTCGGTGCCACCTCGGCTCCGCTGCTCCAGGGGGTCGCCTGAGCCGCCGCAAGTCCAGCGACTCCGGTGGCGTGGAGGAGCTCCTGGAGTCGCTGCGCGAGCGCCGGGAGCAGGCCATCGCACCTCGAACAGCGGCGGTTCCACGGAGGGGAGAGGAGGGGGGGCCGGAACACCTGCGGCGCGGCACCCTGTTTAGGAAAAAGAAAGGAGACCAGCGGATGCAAAAGGTAAGGTTGGTGGGGTTCGTGGGTTTGGTCAGGTTGGTCCTTTCCAATATTTAGGGCACCACCGAAGCCTCCAAAGGCCCATCAAGACCCTCTAACGACTAGGAGAACGCCTGCGAGGGAAGCTTCAAAGGGGGTATGAATTTAGGGGGATTGGCTCAAGAATCCTAGTGCCGTTTCTATTTTTGCACTTGAGAACAACAACATGAACGCCTCCTACCTCAACACCGCACTGTTGATAGCTGAGCATGTCCTGAGATTGAACGTGTCCCATGTGATCCACGGACACCCGAACATTTTGGCCTTGGCGGACTACAGTCTGTCGACCGAAGAAGAAGAAGAAGAAGAGGAAGAAGAGGAAGAAGAAGAGGAAGAGGAAGAAGGCGAAGGCGAAGGCGAAGAAGGGGAAGGGGAAGGCGAAGGCGAAGGCGCGGCCGCCCCCTCATCTCAACCAGGTTTGCAACCTGACCCATCTGTCGACAGCAATGGCTCCACCTCAGTCACCAGATCGACTTCGAATCCCGAAAAACTCTAAGGAGTTGGTGCATGCTGGCGAGGGCGACTTGGCAGAAGTCCGGGAGCTCATGGAGGAGATTGAGCACTTGGAGACTCGTCAGACCTCCGCCCGCGGCGGAGTGGTTTGTTCGGACGTGGTGCTGAGGCTGAAACTGCACGCCGCTCACCGGAAGAAATTGAAGGATGAGTTGCACGCACATTCAAGCGTTTTCTTGCAATCGGAACAGCTTTCGCTGTTGGAGGTATTCAACGGTCGTGTTTCATCTTGGAAAGACGCCCCCGGGCCAAGGAGAGCGTCTCCAAGGCGGTCCAGATCGAGGAAAGCCCCGAGGACCTCGTCGACTCCAAGGGTTGCTGGGTTCCGGAAAAGGGAGGCCCCAGACGAAGGTGTGGGCCAGGGGGGGAGGCCCCATATGCGGTGAAGTTCATGCGACCCATCCTAGGTTCATTCCCGTAGCGACGAGGCTTTTCCGGCGAAGCTGCGGAGAAGCCGATCTCTCCACTCCAGAATGTCAGTTCAAAGCTAGGATCAAGTCAAGTAGCTTGACATTCTGTAAGTGAGGAAGTTGCGCAACCTCTGTGGTTCAAAAATGACGGTTTAGCTAGATGTCCAATTCGGAGCCTGAGAAAGCTTGCTGGGCCGCTGCCTCCCAAGAAATCGCAGTTTCACTGCAGGCTACGACGCTCAGCAAAGTTGTTACCTCTTAAGAAGTAGGTGGCACAGCAGTGTGCTTTGCACGTGCCAAGGCGCACTGCCTTGGTCACATCCCACGTCCCGGCCCAGGTTACATCCGTTCCCTGCTGGGCCTCACGGGCCACTCCTTGACGGTGAGCTGCTTGGCCTGGCACCGCGGCCCCGACGAGAAGCACCGCCTGCTGAGCGGCGCCCACGACGACGCCCGGCGCGGAGGGTGGAAGCTGCGTGGCGTGACGTCGCGGCGTGTTTTTTGGCGGAAAGGGTTTTGGTACGTGGAGTCTTTAAAGAGGTGTCTTTGGATGTCCAGCGAGACCAGGGTGTTGAGGATCTTCGAGGGGCTTCTTGGAAGTAGACGGCCGAAAATAAATTCTGTTCGAACTGCTTCTTGCTTTCCGGAGCGGATGTTGATATTGGCCATTCGGATGGGCGCCTGGCAAGTTCCCAGCACTCAGTTTGTTAAACCGCCGTGGCAAAGCCAAGCTGAAAGGCTCACCTGTCCACGTGTCGAAGAAGACATGGCAGCAGTGTGCGGCAGCTATGAATCCAAAGCGACGGGCCAGTTCCATTTAACCTATGCTAAACATTGCTAAACTATAAATGCCTATAGCACCTGGTCCATTTTTCCGGAGATCACCACATGAAGCGTGGCTTTCGATCCCCCTTGGTGCTACCAAACCAGTGACCGCCTTCGGTTTCGTGGACAGGGCCACCGGACCGCACGTCGACCCGTCGGACGGTCTCCAAAAGAACTCCGGGTGACCGGGCTCCGGGGTTGACCGGGAAAGGGTTTCACTCCGGAACGGTCACCGGAACTGGCTTCGCGGCCCATGCCACGGGGGAGAACACACTGTTAGTTCGCTTCGTGCCTACCGAAAACGGGTGCCGACCGACCTAGCGATGGCCCCTAAGCCAATAACCTCCCACCTCAGGAATCCATTGGCTTCTTTGAGTTCGATGATGCCGAAGTCATGGCGGGGCTCACGGCCATGAGCCGACAATGTTCGGCGGCCTGAGGGCCCTTTTGTTGTGCGGGAGGCACTCGTGGCGAGCACATGGCCGGATCATTCCAGGTCATTCATGGTTCGGTTGGGTTGTGAACCAAGTGAGGAGAAGAGGGTGAGAGCTGGGAAGGTCGGCCTTTGCTGTTTGTTCCGATCTCACCATCCAGTGCTCCGATCTCACTGAGTCCTCCCAGTGGCTGGAGCCGTGCCGAAGTGAACCGGAGCCACACTCACTTTGGTGTGAACTTGGTGTAGACTCCATGACTTCGGACTTCTTGGCCTGTGTCAGGGAGTGCGGCACATGAACAGGTAGATAAGGTAGCGCTCCAGGATGTGATGCAGTGATTTCTGCAAAATGGCAATTTCATTTGCACCCAAGCCGATGAAGGCTGTATACCCCGACTTCACCCTGTCATCCTGCTTGGTTCTGAAGCGCCGATGTGGTTTGACACACATCCCTGTACAATAAAAAGGTGCCCTAAAGCGGGCAGACAAGATCAAGACAACTCGCCCAAAACATGCCTCTCTCCCATGCGTTAGCAATGATCATTTCTGGCGAGAGACCAGGTTGAAACTTTTGCTTCTGAAAGTTTTGGACGAGACAGTTTAATGTCACGCGAGCTGAATTTGCTGAAAGGCTGTGCCTGCTGCACTTGTGTGTGTGTGTGTGTGTCGGTGTGGGGGGGGAGCATTGGGTGGAGAAGTTGTTGCAACATCCATGACGGTGGAGAAAGCTACCTTCTGTTCAGGGAGGAGGCCTGCACTACCTCAGAAACACGAAAGCTCATCCTGTGGAGGGTCTCAACAAATACAGGGGCCAGCGGTTTGCGGGCTCCTGTGCCTCAGCAATCTGGGGATTGCGCCATCACCATAAACAACAACCAAACCCTGCGTTTGTTACCAGCGCCGGGCCCGGAGGGAACGGCGCCAGGCATCCCTCTCTTCGCTGCTGCTTGTTTGAGATGGACTGGAAGCGGTATCGGAATCCTCGGGCGAAGGGCGGCTCTTTTGGAAAGAACCTTGGAGACCAGCAAGGGTTGAAAGTACCAGTGGCAAGGGTTGAGCGTGAGTCCAACTCCTGGACCCTGATGGGATCCGGATTGAGGGCCCAGCGGGAAAGCCTTGATCGGGGAAGGGTCGAAGGAGTTATTCGACATGCCGAGTGGTTCGTCGCTCGGATCGGTAGACATGCACATTGCAGCTCCCAAGTCAAGTGGGTGTACTTGAGATGTTTTGGAGGCCATAGCCTATGACTTGTACCTATACTTGTTCAGATGTCTTCCAATCACTGCGACAGTTGGTCAAGCCAGCCTCCTTTGGGACCATCCTACACTGAAATCCACTGATTGGGTGTACCCACACGGGCTCTGCCCCAAATCCGGGTTCAAAACCGATGTTCTCCTCTCTCAGCATTGCACCGGGAACCCGTTCGTCGTCTCGAGCGGAACGGCGCCGTGTCTGACAAGGTCAAGAACGGTGCGGTGCCTGCGACCTACCAGGAGATCGTCACTCAGGAGGGGATCACGTGCCCCTCTGTGGGGTCAATTCCCGGTTTTTTCAAGGCGCCATACCCGCCACACGCGTAGTCGGACTAGAGGAAACAGAGCAGAACCCACCCGCTGGGAGGCTCGGTGTTTGGGCAGCTGAAACAGCGCACGAAGCTCTCCGAAGTGCGCACGGCTGCCGTCTCAGATGACATACTTTCACCCTTCGCACGGTCCGATGTAGAGAAGCCACGTGAGGCGTAGTAGCCGTGACTGGCTTCGGTCTACTCTCAGGAACCAGGAGTCACGTTCGACGGGGTGGTTTTTAGTCCCATCCAGTGAGTGGATGGATAATGGGCACCCCTATCCTCCGTTCGTTCGGCACCCCGACATGTGACTGCTGGAAGATGGTCACGACTTCAGCGGCAGAAGTCGCTCACGCCGACCCTTTTTGTGGAACACAGGCCTTCCATTCAGGCTCCCTTACTCCACCTTGGGCGACCGGCTTCGCGGACCATGTGCTGCGACACGCATCCAATGGGTGGCTGACCCAGTGCTGCTTTGGATCGTGGAGTGTGTGAAACTGACCACGGCCAGTCTGGTCATGGCCCTTTGAAACGGACCCGTCTGCCCGCCAAAGGGGTTTGTCCATTTCTGGCGGCCACCACACTGCTGGAGCCGAAATGGGCAGCTTTGCTGCGTAGATTTGTTGCAGCATGGGTTTCGAAGTGGTTGTTTGGAAAGTGTTTCTTGTAGTTGCCACATGATGTTTCATCCTTACTTGGTGCAAAAAATGCGCAAGTAAGTGGTGAGCAATTAAGTTTGGCCACTTGACAGAGAAAAGAAGCTGCGAACAATATCACCAAATCTGCGGATGGTCATCTACCAGTGCAGTGACCTTTCTTGGCAACAGACGGATGTAAGCTTTGGCTGGCTCCTCAAGTTGCTTGGCAAACTGCCACTGTCAAAAGGATGAGATCAAGATCACGGATGCAAAGATAGCAGCATGTTGGAAAAGACGGATGAAAAAACTCAATGGTCAAAGCTTAATTGAGCTGATCTCCTGAAGACCTCTGAACCATAAATAGAATATAAAACTACTTGTTGAGCTCATGTTCTGAATGCCAAGTCTTCTGTCCATTTGTTTCCCAGGAGCCTAGCATCATCTCCTCGGGCCAAGAGCGCACCAAGGACGCAGCAAGATGTTTCGGAAGCATTGTCCTTTTGCATGCTTTTTGTGGATAGTTTTGAGCCAGGCCTTCAAGAAGTGTCACTCTTGGGGGGATTTGGGCCTGAGTGTGCATTTGCAGCTGGCTGGTCACCAGAAAATGGTCCTACACGTCACTCAATGCATTCCCTGTCTTCATGGTGTGGAATGCATTCTCAGGGGCTTCCCCCTGCTTTTTCTTCGCCCTCCCGAAATCCAAGAGAAAGTCCTTGACCAAACGGTGCTGCACACATCCCAGGCGAAGCTGCCCATGTTTCACCACCCACACCGCCCCTCCGAAGTCTTGAGTCACTGACCCTGGCCACTCCTGGATCACACCGGGGTAGGAATAGATGGCAGAATGGCAAGTGCTCGAACTAATGCACTTTGGATCTTCCTGGATCTTCCCAGTGACCATCCTCCTGTGCAAAAGGTCACTGGAGGGGACTCCAAAAAAGGTGGGAAGGTCCTGATTCATTGATATTCCTGGCTTTGCTGAAGGTGATTTTGAATTTTATCGGGTTCCTTCAGCAAATCCTAAGTAGTCTTCATTGCCAGGAGGGCTTCTTCTTCGTGAACGCTGCGAGCGCCGCCAAGCACCCTGGCAGAGTCTGCTCTTCGCACACCATGGGCAAGACAGTTCCGGGATGGCCATGTCGGGCCGACCAGCCGTGGAAGGTGCCTAAGACACCATCCGAACGCGTGATGGGACAAATGGTTTTGGTTGGCTTCTGGGTGCCCACTTGGTCACCATCCTCTTTTTTCACCGGCTTTCTTCATCAAACGGATGAGTCGCAGGGAGCCTGAGCCTCATCAAACCTGGTGCTTCATCGGTTCCCCACGGGCTTCCCAAGGAAAGTGCAATTGGCTGAGGAGCGAGGCATCGTGACTTGGAGCGAAGCATATGGGGCGGTCGACCGCGGCCGAGGCGCTCGCTGAGTTCTTGTGACCTGAGCGAACAAGGCTAGGCTCGGCGAAGGTGTAGCCGTTAACGCATGCAGGTGGAGCCTCGTGCGTAACACTTCCATGTTCGACATATGATTTGGGATGCGGCTCTTGTAACGCTAACGGGCGCGCGTTTCCCTCACTTCCACCCACCCGTTCTTGGAGGTTGGAAGTGGGGAGGTGTCAGAGGTCAGGTATGTGAGGTGTGTCAAGCTTTTTGCTTTGCTGAGGCTGGGTTGATGATTTGGGAGCTGGGCCAAGATGTCTTGGAGGATCACGGCAACATCCTTAGGTGCGCCACGCACCACTCCCGCCGATGCGCAGATGTACAAAGAGGGGCCGCCTGTAACGCGGAAGGAGGTCACCAAAACACCAAACTATAGGGAGTTGGTGTCACATGGGGTTTGTGAGACAAGCCACTGATAGGGGGCTGCCGCTGAAGCCTGGCGAAAGTTGTGCCCTTTAAACTGTGTGCTAGCAAGCTTACGATGTGCCAAGCCAGAGGAAGTGGACAGTCCAGGAGGCAGGAAGCAAAACCATGTATAGAACTAGAATGAAAAGCAGATAATGCCAACAGTGCCGAAGGTTGATGAAGATTCGCCAATGTTCCTTATGTAGAATACTTTTATATATATGCTCTCCCTTTGCTTTGGGTTGCCTTGTGTAAATCCCATACCAGCTGATAAAGCGCCAAACGGAACTCACCACGTGGGGCTTGACGCAGCTGACGGCCAGGGAGGTCTGGAACGCCGCCAAGAACAAGGCGCGGTGAAGCGACCGATGTGGCGTGAGATGCCGACGTGGTTGCTTTTTGTTACTACTAGAAAGGCACTTGTTACTACTAGCGTGGCACTTGTTCCTAGTAGCTTCTTGTTTCTACTAGATGATTTAGGTAGGCCACCCGTGCGGGTCTTTGGGTTCTCCTCGTCGACGGGACGCGGCGAACGTTGAAAACGCTCCAAAGGGTGACATTGATCGCGTCTTTTGGGGGGCGTATCTTTGCTATCACCATCCGCCAGAACAAGCCACAATAGTTGTTGATGAATCTACGGACGAACTCTATGTATGAATCATAGTTTTCTTAGAGGGTGACAGTGGTTTTGCGCCACCTTTGTTTGTCAGGCGAGTGGCATTTACGAACGCATCACAGTACACACTCTGGAACTCTTTGCCGCGTGCCTCATCGATGTTCGAAGCCATTCGGACAATCGCCGTTCGGAATCCAAGATGAGCAAATGGAGCAAAATGTGCCACCCAGTACCTGTTCCACGACTCTTTCAAGGGCACGCTGAACATGCTGAGCATGCTGCCTTTGACCAGGAATGGCCGCCTACTACTGAAGCGATGGCCTCCCACCTACTAGCGATGGCCTCCCACCTACTAGCTGTGGCCTCCCACCTAGAAGCGATCTACTACTGCCGAAGAAAAATGTTGTTGTTATTTCTTTTGGACCAATTCACCTCTGCGGGAACTGCTGGGCAACCGGATGTCCGGTATCGGAGGGCTTCTTGCACCGCCTCCTCGGCTTCAGCTTCAAGGAGGATCACCTTTTCAGCTGCTGAGCGGGTCCAGCTGGAGTTCGAAGAATGAAACCTAATAGCAAAGCGATGGCCAACCCAGAAGCGATGGCCTCCAACCTAGTAGCAATGGCCTCCACCCTGGTAGATGGCCTCCAAAAGAGTTTGAAGATTCGTTCGAAGGCTCATTGGACATGCGGGGGGGGGGGACCACCAGGTGTTCCACACCAGATCCGTTCTCCAGGTAGTTCTCACAAAGACTCCACTTCCGATCCTTAAGTGATGCACCAGGTTTCTCTCCTTCGTTCAGCCACCGCTTGGAGGAATGTGCCCAGCCCTCACTTTAGCGACCCCTCTCTCAGCATCGGCCGATCGGCCGAGGCTTCCTCACCGTGCTGATGGGAGGCGGAGAAAACAAGGGGGAGATGCGTCCACCGGCGTTTGGGTGTTGGTCAATTCTCACTGGGGCATACCAAGAACACTGACCAACCATCCAAGGCAGAAGGGTTTTGAGAAACTGGTGGACAGAGCTACTCTGCCACGGCTGCTTTGGACTCAACAGCTGCAAGAAAGAAGGTGAAGGCTACTGTCCCTCAGAAATTGAACTAAGCTGCCTCTCCAAACCCCTACTAGTACAAGCCCCCGTCCACAGAGAACAGGGCAGAATTCCAAGGAGTCAGCGTCAGGCTACTACTTCTTAAAGGTCATGCAGTTGGCCATGAAGCCATCGCCGAAGCCTTTGAAGCAGTTCTCTGAGGCGGCGTTTCTGGACGACGCCGAAAATTTCGACGTGTACGTCACAACCGGTGTCCTTTTCAATGTGTCGTTGATTGCCGAACAGTGCTGTTGTTTTTCGTGAACGAAGGTAGGACAGTTCGCAGTGAAATTCGAGAACCAAGCCAAGGGGGCCAGAAGATCAGCTAGGAGCAAGAAGCTACTAGGGGCTCCTGGCCTTACTGCTAGGAGCGATCGGACGCTACGTTCGGGGCTCCTGGCCGTACGACGAACGGAGCAAGGTAGCTTCGCTACGCACGTAACTAGAAGCTACGAACGTGGCCCTGCCTCCAGAAGTTCAACTCGGAACACCGGAAGTACCGGACGTACCGAGGGACCCAGTCCGTTGTCTTCTCCACCCGAGGAGACCGAGGAGACCGAAGCGAAGACCGACTGAAGGGGCAGCACCGGTGGCATGCCCGAAGCAGTGGCACCGGTGGGGAGGCTGGGATGGCATGGTGTGTAGAAAGCATGAGGTGTTCGACTACAAGGAGATGTTGATATAGATCTTATACATAGATGTATAGCTGTACATATTTGCGATCTGTCCCAGCCATAGCTTCATTGACGCAGTGGACGTATGGGGATTACAGATGTAAGTGTATCAGAGTGCATGAGGCTGCTTTCTTTGTCCAGGTTACAGCTAAGGATTGAGGAACGAGTTTCAGAGTGCAAAAGATGTGATGTTTGTGAGTGGTTTTCCACTTTCGAATCAGGTGAGATGGGCCTAACATAGCAAAGCTCCTGGCGAAGGGTTCGTCGTCCGGCTCCGCTTCTGGAAGCCCAGCATGGTACGACGCTTGCAGGTCGGATATGTGCACAGCAGGAACGCAGGAAAAAGACTGCGGGATCGCCTGCCAGGGTTGGAGCACAGCATCCATCATGAAAATGGAAACCGTGCTTAGTGCTGATTGTGTTCCTTCCAAAGCCTTTGCGTCCCAAAGACGGGCAAAGCTTTCAACAGCGAGGAAGCGGCGACACATGCGAACATAGGTAGAGTGTTGAGCAGCTTCGTGTTTGAAGACTCCGATCCATGAACTTCACACGATTCGTTTGAGGTGAACAAGGCGTTGCACTGTGCCATTTTGTTGAAGTACATGCAAATACCTGAAACCAAGGGTGCCGAGCACTGTTGCTCCCAACCAGGAGCTGCTGCATAAGGTTGTACGCCTTTTGACCAGATATTCTACATGCCTCGTAGTTCACATGGTCCAAGATGTTACTGTGCTTCCGTTCTTTGTAGAATGTGTTGGGCTCACCATTTGGTTCACATGGAGATGGAGCTTCTCAGCAACTCTTGGCATCGTGCGATGAAACAGCTTTACTGCGCCATGCTCGTCGTGGCGTCTTCGAAGCTGGCCAAATGCCCAGGTGCCGCCGTGTGGAAGCAGATGGGCCATGGTAAAAAAAGAGTTTAAAGGATAATCATACACCATTTTGGTTCATGCCCTCATCTTTCTTTTGAAAGACTGCCCCAAACATGGGAAATCTAGACCATGGGTCAGCTATTCTCAACAGGACCTTGTCCCCACACATGATGACTTGGATAGGGGGCATCTTGGCAGACCATGACTAGCGACATTCGGCATTTCAGCGATACCTCGTCTTTAAAGCATTGTCAATACCCACGACCAAGGGAAAAGCAGGACCCCCTTGTATGGTTTTCAGGCAGCGTGTTGAATCATGTTGAGGCGTCTCCAACTACCCAGTTGATGTCAATTCTTTCACGGATCTACATTGAGAAGACCTGGGTGGGGTCCCCAATTCGTTCGTTCCGGAACCCACTTGGACCGCGTGCTCCTTCGGTGTCCGAACGCCAGGAGAAGATCGGTCCAAAGACGGCACCTGCACCGTGGATGGAGGTGGGGGGACCTCGAGAATGCCCTTCCTTATTGACAAACCTCGGAGAAAAAAATTTAACACATCAATTGCTCAAACGTCTGGATCTTTTCGCTGCTTACGCATGAAGCGGCGTTACGAGTCTTGAGCTTTATTGGTGCTGCAAATGCTTGCCATGTCATTTGACATCATCAGCACGGCGTATGCCAAAGTGTAGTGGAAGAGATGTTGGACATGCGACCAATCAGGCTTCTTCCAGACCAGACAGACTCTCACCAGAGCTGGCGCTGCTGGGAGGCTTCGTTTGCCTTCAGCTCCTGGACACCAGCGGCCGTCCCCGTGACTTTGCGCCGGCACAAGACTGGTGGGACATCACGGGACAAGCCGCGAAATGGGCACCTTGGTGGAGCACGTGGACACCGGGTCCGTTTCAGTCCGTTTCGGACCGTTGGTTACTCCAAATGGAGGGCTTTATGTAATTGAGGGGCTTTCTTTTTACTCAACTCTTGCTGTGGTCATTCCAGATGATCTTGGGCCAGATACACATTGAACCACGCGAGATGGCCCCGCTATTTTGATCCTACTGGTTTGCGAAGCAAAGCAGTGATACGGATGAGCTAAGCATTGTAGGGACATTGAAAGATCTCAGCTGGCCTTAAATTTCAACATGCCAGTGCATCCTCCAAACCCAGCACCTACAAGATTCTCCTGCTGAAAGCCATCCTTTCGTCACCTGAGGATGATCGAATTCGTGGCAACGGCGGGGACTCCTGGTGTGTTTGCGCCACTTGCGCCTCAGAGATCGTCGAAAAGGCCAGCAGAGAGAGAGAGAGAGGCCGTTTTAGAGGGCGAAGACATTCGATTGTTCATAGCGCATGCTTCATTTGCCAGCCCAATCTCAGGTACTGTCAAGACATTGGTTCTCGAACCTGCTCATGTCAGTTTGAGGACAAATCATTTTTGGAGGGCCAACATCCGCGTCAGTTTATGACTGACGACAGAAGCACGCTTCTTCAACTGGCTATAAAGCATCCTTGTGTAGAGAGGCTGGCAACCCCCCATCCTTTGGAAGCAACTCCCCCTCAGTTTGGCAAATACTTCACCCACTGAGGGAAGGAAGTCATCAAGCACAAACCGCCAGGTGGGCTGCGCCAAGATGCCGATCCGTTGCAACGCCACCAACGAGGAGGACGTCTTTGGCATCAACCTGCCACAGTACCACGCGCTGGACTGGAAGGGATGGGCGGATCAGGCTATAGGAAGAAGGGAGGTTCGGTGAGGTTCCGGAGCGCCAAGTCATGGATCCATTTGGTGAAGTTGTGAGGCGTGCGATCCGCACGTGATCCACCAGACAAGCTGCTCGTGGATGTTCAGAGAATGTTCCAGTGTGATCGTCATATGAGCCCAAAACAAGGCGCGGCCGTGTTTGTGGGGGATTTCTTGGGGATAAACTTGTTGATCCCGCAGCTCACAGATTGCGGCATGCATGCACTGAAGACCCCGCAATGGAAAGCATGGTTTTCACCGGCTCAGAGCTAGGTTGTAATGACTAGTGAGCAAAATTGTCAAGTTGTCCTTCATTGTTTTGGGGTCCTCTCCAATGGCCACAGGTATCGCCACGTTCGTTGGCTCGTTGGATGGCTTTCAGCAAAGGAAGTGTGTCCACGCACCGCACAGAATGTGAATGAAGCTCTTGGCGGTCTTGATCATGTTTCCTTGATGAAGCTCCAGAATTCCTGAGCAAGTGACCTATGACAGTGATCAGTAAATCCAAGTAAAAAGTTCACCTCACAGTGCTCTAGAAAAGGTGGGCGGCTGCAGCTGGTTCCCTTGCCAGATTCACAGCGCAGTTCATCCGGAAAGTCTCCTTCCCCACCTGCCAAAGGTCCGCTCCCCGTCACGGCCAGATGACGACACGGGAGACGGACGACCGTGACTGACAGGAGAAGTGCCTGCGGCAGAAGTGCGGTTTCAAAGCTGCCGACCTTTGGGATGCCAGCCTGGAGGCGGGTAGTGGACTGCCTCCAACCTAGAAGCGATGGCCTCCAACTTGATAGCAAAAGGAGCCTAAGAAGGATGGCCTCCACCCTAGTGCTGTTTCAAGGCGGGTTGTGGACGACGGCGGGGGTTCACTCACGGTGTCCTGGGTTCCACCTCCAGTTCTTGGGACCAAAATTTGGAAGCCAGGTGGAACCATGTGTGGACATGCAAAAGCGCAGTGTTTTGAAACAATCACAAATAGCTACTATAGGAACAAGAAGCTACGAACGGGGCTCCTGGCCTTACTACTGGGAACTCTTGGGCTTTGGAACCGATGGAAGCTACTAGGAACAAGTGCATCGCTTCTAGTAACAAGTGCCTTACTAGTAGTAACAAGAAGCTAGTAGAAACAAGACTTAGTAATTAGAATTAAGTTTAATTAGAATTAAACTAAGTTAAAAATTAAATCCACCTGTTCCTCTAGCTTCTTGTTACTAGTAGTAAGGCACTTGTTACTAGAAGCGATGCCAGGATCCCCCAGTAGCGTCCTTGTTACTACTAACTGAAAACCCTCTCTTTTTCAAGTGAGTCCTTGGATCCTCGGTCATCGGTTCCATCGTCCGGCGAGGCCCTGCAGAAGCATCTTCAGGGCGGCCACTTGGAAGGAGCGCCTGCGAAGGCATGCGCGCTGCGAAGGGGAAGAAACTGGTGAGTGAGATGGCAAGGCCGCGACTCAAAGGACCATGCATGAGTTGCATACCTTGGCACAGCGAAAAAGCTTCGAACCACATCCCCCAAACCTTCCCCGATGCCCGAGCGAAATTCAAGGATGCAGGCCTGTTACTTCGAAAAAATGGGAGGATTTTGCAAAAAAATTGGAACAGACAAGGGGAAAACCACCCGTGGAGCTACTGCACCTGGATTGGTGGGACCTTCCTGTTAGTTTCGATCGAAATCTGGAGGGTTCTTTTCGCCGCTGCTGATCCTTTTTGGGCTGCTTTTGCTTCTCACAGCGAGTTTTTTGTACACGAGCCGTGTTTTCTCACAGCCACTTCATGTTGATGTGGTGCTTCTTTTCATCGGCTCGTTTCCGAGGCTCCTGGGTGCAATCCACAGTGGTCTTAAGCGCCGCGCTGGGGGTGGCAGCAGCCGTGGTGCTCCTGCTCAGGAGGCGCCGACCAAGGATAGACCAACGTTCAAAAAGGAACCCCAGGCCCGGTTCGAGGCAGGTGCTTGGATAGCAAGCAGCCAAGCAGGGCGGTTTGGGCGTCCAGGCTAACATTCCCGAGCAGCCAGGATCCCTTGCGAAGTTTCTCTTTCAAACTGTTTGACCAGAGACAATGTGCCCGCCAAATGTTTTGGAGTGGGGAGGCTATAGCGGGCTAGGTGCATATTGTAAGAATGTTTTTTTCTTCGCTCCCCCCCGAGGTATGCATCATCCGAGCTCCGAACTCGGACATTCGAAGGGTTTGTCCCGCTCACCTTGTGCCCATCAAACAATGAACTCTTCACCCTTTCGTCTCACGGAAGCCAGCGAGAAAAGGCCAACAAAAGGACCCACGATCGCCTACAAATTCACAACAACTGCCCCGCGATGGGGGTGGCTGGGAAGCGGTGTTCACAACTCACGTCGCGAATTCCAATGCAGAAGGTCCAGCTCTCTTGGACTTCGTCGGGTGTGTGCAAGTGCTCCACCTGCAAGCAATAAAGCATTTTGTTGGGGTGCTTTTAGGGGTGGCCGTTTTGTTGGGAAGCTCCTTGACAGACATACCGTACCTCCAAAGAGAAGCGTGCTTGACAGGCTATTTGCTGTGTCTATGTCCAGTCGCTACGAGCCATTAGATGCTTGGATGCGTTTTTTTCACGGAGAAAGCCCGTTTGAAGCAAAAAGAGTCCTGGACGGAACTCCCCAAGCAGCCACTTGCTATGTGGATCTCGAGCTGGCGCCATATTGCAACTTTTGTTTCTGCTTGGGGCTGGGTTTTCAGGTACAGTCTAATCGTCAATGGAATCCTCATCAGGAGCCGGAGCACATAGAATCACTTATATGCCTTAGTTCGGCTCTAATTGTTCGATCAAATGGAGATTACAACAGACTCGGGTGCCACACTCACCCAGCTTCATTGGGTTGCATGGCGGAGAGTGGAAGATATATTAGGGACCTGAAGAACGGCCGCTCAAAGGTTCTCCACTAAGACTCTTGAGTGAAGACATGGGCGAGCTACAGGATGATATGCCTGGCATGCAACTACCAAAGTGCGCTGTTGGTTTTTCCCGGACATGTTTGCACGCCTGAGAAGACCTTTTGGAAGGCATTACTCTTTGCTTGTAAGGAGAACTGACTTCTTGGCTTGCTTCAGAAACCACTGGATCCCAATTGGACGGGTGTAGACACTGCTCCAGCTGTGCATCTTCCAGCACAAAAAAACGGCCATCTGGAAGTTTTGTGGAATGCGGCTGATACGGGCGGGAGAACCGCCTTGATGCCTGCAGCTGGCAATGGACACTTGGAAGTGGTGCGCTTGTTGCTGGAGTCTGGAGCTCACAAGAATGGTCATTTCGAAGTGCTGCAATTGCTGCACTGAGAGCGTGCCAGAATGGAACTGCAGCTACTCAATCCCCTATGGCTGTCCCATATTGTTGTTGCTCACGTGAAAGCAGGAGACCACCGTCGAAAAATTTGCACAAGTCATCCTACTTCTAGGTGCTGAGCTGAGAGACCCAGGCTCCCCCTTTCCTTTTGGGCTGTGTAGCTTTGCTACCGGTTGCTTGCTCCGATTTGTTCCGTCGTGTGCATTTCTTAGATTTGTTTGGCGAACTGGGACATTTGGCAATGCAGTTGCTCCGGGAGCACGAAGACATTGTTGGTACGTGCTTATACTTTGCGCTCGTTTTTCACGACGGCGGTTAACCCAAAAGGATTGCTTACTCAAAGTGATGGAACGTACAGTACATTATAGGCACTTTCAAACACATCACTGATAGTGAGAAGAGACTTTTCATTTTTGAGCGCTGCTTTGTGAAGCGGTAGTTCTCCAGCCTGAAGTTTCGTTTGGTCTTGGAGACAGTGAGGCACTAGGCTCCCCCTCCGTGCAGAGTCATGTTTCACCTTGGATTCTAGTTTGCCCTCCAACGACCGACCACATACGTACCAAATTTGACCTGTTCACCCTCGTTCCCTCTTTTGGGGGGCCCTTAGTTGATAAGAATTTTGCTAATGTGACCCACTTCTTTAAGATCAACAGGTGGTATCTCAAAACCATTCAAAACAGGCTTGCTTAACTCCATCCAAAACCATTTGATCACTCCAAGGATACCAGCAGCGATGGTGAGGGCCTGCTGGACGAGGCGGTGGAACGACCTTTCGATGCACCGAGGAACTCGAACGTTTCGCTCGGTGGGAACGCTCCAGTTGACTCACGCGAAGTAGGGCCAGGGAAGTTGAGGGAATGAACTCAGACTCACCACCCCGAAATAGATACCTCAAAATCCGTTCATTCCTTTATTCCTTACGAGTCGCACCAGTCAGTTTGAAGTTGGAGTTGGGAAAGTTGGACACCATCTGAACGTCTGAAGGTCTGCGGGGGGCGCCATCTGAACGTCTGGAAGATTGGCTCAAAAGTCGCATTTCGCAGAATATTGGGGCACGAAGCTGGGAGGAAAGTGGAGAAGAACGAAGTCAATCTGAAATCAAACGTGACATTGCTGAAGTGATTCTTCCCCCTTTCCGCACACACGTTCGAGGATGAGGTGACCTGGGGTTCGTCCGTTGATGACTGGCATGATGATGTGGCGTCGGCGCAAGCCGAGCCAAACGAAACTGGAGAGCGTCCGAACGAAACTTGGACTTTGAGTGAGTGGTTTGATGATTTCATGGACTCTCCGACCAAAAATCTCGCCGGAAAGGGGCCAAAACATGTGCAACAACCTGTCCCAAAGGACACTAACAGAGCAGCTTGAATGACGAAAGCCTCACGGGATTCTCGCTCCACAGAGAGGTTCAGAAGAGCCGTGGGACACATGCGGCTACTGTGCCAGGAGCGGCTACTGTGCAGCATGTGAGTTCTGCATTCTGCAAGAGGCCCAGTTGAGGAAAATTTGTGCCATTCCCACTTGCGTGTGTGTAGTCAGTTTAGTCCGTTTAGTCTATGTCGTCCTTGTTTGCTAAGGATACTTTGGGGACCTCCTCGTTTGAGATGAAAGTTCATACAAAGACTGCTGACGATTGCCATTAGGTTGCATGCTACTCATGCAACCCAGTTGAAACATTGGTGTTGCCCTTGTTACCAGTAGTAATGCCCTTGTTGCTAGTAGCGATGCCAAGTTTCCAAACAAGGGAAATCCAGTTTCTGCAGCCGGGCCTGATTGTAACAACGCCTTTAGCACAGTCTCAGTGCTCCGCAGAAAAACCACATGGCCCTGTGCAGCTTGAAGGACGGCGATGACGTGGCGTCATGGGGGTTGGGGATAACGGCCGTCTCAGTAGATACGGCAGATAGTAAGACCAAACCTAGGACCATCTAGGACCCTAACTTAGGGTTTTGCGCCGTCTCGGAAACAAATGGAATCACACAGATGACCTTCTCAGCTGTTGCATGCGCAACGCAAGTGAATGCTGGTTTGCTGGCCGACCATGCGCAGAAAGCATCAAAGCATGCCCTGCAGTTCTTTTTAAAGCTCAAGCCTGGATGAGTCAAAATCATGACCTGGGACCAACTGCGTCTCATGCAGCAATAACTAAAGCATTGCACCTCAGCCAGCCTTGCGGTAGCCAACGACTTCCATCAGCTGAGCCACAGCTACGAGCTTTTCATGGCTCTTTCGAGGCGACCCCGGTCAGACAGGGTCTCTCAGAAACAGCTGGGGTTGGCACCTTTGGAGGTTCAGTGGGGAGCCCCGTTCGTAGCGTCCGATCGCTCCGTTCGTAGCGATGCCACCATTCCAGCCCCTCTTGGCGTGGGGTTTTGATGTCACCCACCGTGCTTTCGAGGCGGAATTCTGCTTGAGATGCCGGCTTCGGCTTTGAGCTGCTGAGGCGGAGCTGTGTTCCCGTGGCGTGTCGCTTCAAGTCGAGTCAAGACCAGAAGTTCTCCTGGAAATGCCTAAAGGATCTCAAAGGTGGTTTTGAACGGCTTTTTTTCTCTATCTGGTGGGGATCGCATCTTCTCCCGGTCCCGCACGCCCGTTCGCACGTCATGTTCGGCGCATTCCGTTCGAAGCAGAGGGGGTAGCGCACAGGAGCATTCCTGGAGGAATAAGTCGCATGAAGGTGAGGAGTTCGACCTGCAGACCATTCTCATCTACTGCCACAACACTGCCGAGTTTCACGGAGACTCAAAGCCGCCGGGCTTACGGACTTCTTGTTTCAGCCGTGCTTTCAAGGTTCAAGTTCAAGTTCAAGTTGCATCCTAGTAATAAGGCCAGGAGCCCCGTTCGTAGCGATGCCGCTCCGTTCGTCGCGAGGGTGTTGGGTCGAACTCGTCCAGCCGTCCAGGCCACTGAGTTATGACTTCAAGGGCTGCCGGAAGCCCAGCCGAACCATCGACGTTCATCAAACAGCTTGATGCAGCGTGGCCTTGGGGGAAATCTCCGAAATCTTCAGCATGTGCACACACCAGGCATCGCTACTAGGAGCAAGGACGCTACTAGGGGCTCCTGGCCTTATTACTAGTAACAAGAAGCTATTAGAAACAAGGGCATCGCTTCTAGTAACAAGAAGCTGCTCTCCGCGCAAATCCACTCCGCGCAGGTCCTCCGTTCGGTCCTTCTGGCCTGCTTGCACGCCAACCTAAGAGCAATGCCCTTTGCTCTTAGTAGCTTCTTGCTCCTAGTAGCGATGCCCTTTGCTCCTAATAGCTTCTTGTTACTACTAGTAAGGCACTTGTTACTAGAAGCGATGCACTTGTTCCTAGTAGCTTCTTGCTCCGTTCGTAGCGATGCCCTTGTTACTAGTAGCTTCTTGTTCCTAGTAGAAAGGCCAGGAGCCCCGAACGTAGCTTCTTGCTACTAGTAGTATTGCCAGGAGCTACTAGTAGCTTCTTGTTCCTAAAAGCGATGGCCTCCAACCTATTGGGGAATGTGGAGGAAGAAGCAGCCAAAGCAAATCAGTTCTCCAACAAGTCTCACCAGTGAGGATGCCCCTCCAAGGCCTACCCCTTCCATCAAAAAATGGACCCTTTGTGCCATCCTATTGGCAATCCCCATGGCATAAGAAAGGAGAAAGCCACCAAGAGAGAGATTCGGGTGAAATGGTTCATAAATCTACGCACAGATGTTACTGTTTCATGATTTTTCAGGCTCTCCATTTCCAACGCCAGGCGGGGCTGAGTTTGGTCTCCGCTGGCTCCGACTCCGCCTATGCATCACCCCGGCGCGGCGAAGCGAGAGTGGAGGGCTCACAGGATAGCCCCGAAGCCTTTGCAGGTAACTACATGGCTTATGTTCAACCTAACAGCGATGGCCAACCTAGAAGCCAAGGCCTCCAACCCAAGTAAAAACTATCTAGCTTATGTTCAAGTATGTTCAAGTTATACCTTTTTCCTTCCTTCTTTCTCCGCAAACCCAGACGCATTCATCCCGTCGTCCTTTGTGAGACGGAAGACAACGCATCGGGAGAAGCACATCGATCGAGCCAGATACAGAACTTCCAGAGCGGGCAGCACAAAACCACAGCTTCGGGATCTTGGGCATCCCCATCTAAGACTGGCTCAATGGGTGACACTTGACACTTGCCCTGGAAATGCACTCTACACGCTACTAGCAAAGGGCATCGCTACTAGGAGCAAGGACGTTACTGCCCTGGAAATACCTGCAAGGGGTCTACACAGTCTACTACGGGTCTTCCTTGTCCGAGTGCTTCGCCAGACCATCGGCAGCAGAGTTTGGACGATCGGGGAGCCATGCGATGCCGATCAATGTCTACGTGAAGGGCTTAGACCAGGGAGGTGGAGAGAGCTTACATCATTGATGGTAATTCAAGAATGACACTGGCAGATGCTGGACGAAAGTCCAAACAAGCAAGCACCAGTCTCTTACAAAAACTAGCACCAACGTTGCAAGCCTTGCTTCTTTTTCTGAGGCCGAGGCGGAGCAGAAGCTGCACGATGGCTCAGTGAATCAACCGATTGACAGACATCAGGTAACCCTAGGTGACGAGCAAGGGGCCTACACGCTACTAGGAGCAAAGGGCATCGCTACTAGTAGCTCCTGGCCTTACTACTAGGAGCAAGGACGCTACTAGGGGCTCCTGGCATCGCTACTGGGAGCAAGGACGCTACTAGTAGCTCCTCGCCTTACTACTAGTAGCAAATAGCTACTAGTAACAAAGGGCATCGCTAGCAGTGGCGTCCTTCAGGACATGGGATCTCCGTGCCCTAAAATTGTCTTTAATTGACCCGAGTCCGGGAATACCCGTTACTTCGGTGGTCCCCCCAAGAATAGTCTTTGGACTTCTAGGGGGTGCACCGGTTGAAGCTTTCAATCTCGTTCGCATCGGGAGAAGCACCCGACTTCATGGCATGGTGGCTTTTTGAGCAAGTTCACACAACAACACATCGTGATGACAAAACTCCCTCACTTTGGTTCTTTTGTTTCCGGGTAATTTTCGTGTGTTTTCGTTCTTCAACTCTGCATGTTGTGCAGCAATCCCCATTGGAATGCCCATGTCCACTTGCGCAGTTTGGACCCTTCAAGAGGAACGTTCGACAAACCCCCGCGAGGTGGAGAAGCTTCCTCCCTCGGATGTCAGACCTAGAAACTTCTTTGAGCCACGTATCCTCCCAGGGGCTCCTCCTCTAGTCGGCTACGTGCCGCAACTGACTGCACGATGCCGATCAACATTGTCGTCGGAGGACCTAGCACTCATCGATACTGAAAAGATGTTGACCAAGGCAAACTGTGTTTTTATAGAAGTGTATAAACCCGTGGTGTTTTTACAAAAGAAGAGCCCAAAGCAACGAGTCGTTTTTGTCGAACCAATGGATACTTTAGCTTCCATTCATGTCAAGACAGGGCCAAATAATGCCTTTGCGGCCCATCAAATAGTTGTACTGCCCAAGGCAAGCCAAACAGAGAGTTTTCCGCAGAGTTCTGGACGATCATCTTGCCCCGGTCCCCTACAGGGCCTTGATTCCTGCGATGCGCCCTGACATTTCAGAACAAGCCCAAGAACACTGACCCCAAAGCCCGGAGCCTGAGGCTGAAATACCCAAGCAGACCTTGTGCGGTGGCCAAGTGACATTTCTGCCGATTGGCCCGGCGGCCGAATGGATCGAAATCATCTTCGCTTCTTGAGATGGAGGAAAGCATGCTTCTTGAGCGGCCTCCAACCTAAGAGATTCCTAAAACACCATTTGATCATAATCACAATGCAGGTAGGATCAGAGGAGTGTTTTGAGATTGGGGTCAGTACGACGTGCTTTTGGGTGTCCCAGTTCTGCGTGAAGCTTTCCTATATGTGTCATATGTATATTACAACATTTAACATATAACATATACATTAAAAATATATATATATATACACATAAAACATAACGTAACATATATATATAATATAATATATATATATATAATATAGCTATTGGTTTAACTGTTTTGGTGTTTTCCCCCCATTGGCTGTTCCAAGTGGATCAACCTTAGTCTCCCTTCGCCTTCCCGTCCAAGGTCGCCGAAGGCGGCGCTGCGGCCCTGCCAGTCCGAGCCACGGCTGCGGCCCTCGTCCGCGCGGCTGCAGGTGGAGCAGCCCACAGTGATGAGGCGACCGGCGGTTGGGTGAGAAAAGGAAAGGAAAGGTCAAGAGAATCTAAACGACTTAGCTTCTTGTTACTAGTAGTAAGGATGCTCCGTTCGTAGCGATGCCAGGAGCCCCTAGTAGCGCCCTTGCTCCTAGTAGTAAGGCCAGGAGCCCCGTTCGTAGCTTCTTGTTACTAGTATTACGCAGTTTCAGTTAGAGGTAGGGATGTCCAAGACCTGGAATCATTTACCGCGAATTTCGTTAGGCAAAGAGAGAGAGAGAGAGAGAGAAAATTCACAAGACTCCGTCTGTGTCATCTTAGGTTGCTGTTGCCAGCCTGTGGGCCATTGGATAAGGCGGTGCTCTCTTGTGTTTCTCACTGCCAGGCACAATCGAAAAATGAAACGGACTGCAACGCTGGACAACAAAGTCCGACGCCCCTTGGCCGAACGCGGCGAGGCGAAGGCTGGCGAAGGCAACATATATCAACATATGGAATTAGAGACCTAAGCGCCTTCCTTGAGAAATTGGGCGGATAGAGGCTTTGCCTAACTTTGTCCTTATGCTGAAGCTTCTGGTGTGAATTGAGAAGCAAGATGGATTTTCATCGAGTGCGCACATCCTACTGAGAGTCATACTGTTAAAATGACAGAGGGATATGATCCCGTTGAAAGAAGTTCTGTTCGGGGCACCATGCCAGAAAAATTTATGCGCGGTGCCGGTAACCATTGTCACGTTCGATCTCGAAAATTTGGATCCCCGTCGAATGGGTAGACAGCTTAGTCTCTGTCCTAGATGGAGTCTGGGTGATACTCCGAATCTTGAAAGTTGCACTCTTGCGCTGGAAAGTCACCTTGCAGGTGTGCTGTTTTAGCATCTTCCCCGGCAGAGCTGGCGTTTTGTTGCGTTTGGTTCATGAGGACTACTGGAAGATGATGAGCTAGAGTTCGGCGCCTAGTTGGAGCCGCAAGTTGCGGCTCCTGGGTGGGATGCGGCTTGACGGAGTGGGTCTGAGTTTGGCTTCCCATCCTCGATCCTCGATCCACACCTGGTGAGGTGGGGATGGCGGCCTCGTGGCCTTCGTCCTCTGGCACTCTGTGAAATACAGGTACTTCCTGTGAAGTCCAACGGGTTCTTTGTGGAGGGGTTTTTCGGACGGGCGGTTTAGTTTAGGCGGTTTTTCCAAAGTCTTCACTACCAGACTTCCGCACCAAATTCTCCAGACTCTTGGACCTTGCCCTCATCATATGAACCTTCGTCAAGGCCCAACAGTTTCGAGGCGCGTTTGATGGGATCGACCCGCTTGTCTTCTGCACTCCTTCAGGCTATGCAAAGAAGCGCTGCACACTCAGCATTCGCCAGTGCCAGAGTAATTCTGCCTAAATGGGTAGGATGGGGAAGTAATTCTCTTGCAGATACCCAGTAATCTGAGTAAAGACCCATGACACCTAATCAATCAAGTGTCAAAGCCCGTGCCTGAGGCAGCGTTGTCAGCTTTGGTTCGCAGCCCATGGAGGATCCATCACCCATCACCCAATCTCAGCCCATCGCCCAAAAACGGATCGTCCCTGACCCTGAACACATAGGTGATGGGTCCACCGGTGCTTTTCGTCAGGTTTCGTTCGTGCGGGTCGTTGGATCCAAGGCCTCATCCAGCCGCACGAGAGGCCGACTTGACCGTCGCCTCCCTCTGCGGCAGAGTCAGTGAGAAGGCGGAGACCATTTTCGGAGTGTCGGATGTCTTCCGTTTGGAATCGTTTCACCTGTCGTAACAAGAAGTTTTTTAGTATGCCTTTCAAGCTTCTTGGTAACCCCTTACTGCTAGTAGGCTTCTACCTCCAACCTAATAGCGATGGCCTCCAACGTAGTAGCTTCTTGTTGCTAGTGGGCTGTCTCATCTGCCTTTGCGAACTGTCCGGATGCCCCTTCTCCGGAGGAAGCTGTTTGACCCACTTAGCGGATCTTCTCGGTTCATAGAGATTCTTCACAGACCGTCTCTAGACACCAAAGTCACTGGGTTCCGCTTGAAAGTCACCCAGCTTTCACAGCTCTCGTAAAATGGCTAAGCCTCTCTTTGTGCCGGCGACAGGACAGGTACCAGCCTTACTTCAGTGGGAAGAGGATGGACTTCAGCCAGCTCGGTGGCCTCCTCGGATGAAGCGTTCATATCGGGTGCTTTTGCTGGCAACTCTGTTGGGGGAGACATGGAAGTCAAGGACAGGACTGAAACGGTCACACGTTGTGTGAAACGGTGTCAAGAGAGCCCTTCCTTCGGTTGTGCCAAGGCCAGTTCGAGGCTGGAAACTCAGTGCCGGCACAGTTGGCGCAACTTGAGAGAGAGAGAGAGGGAACAGGACTTGAAGGATGTGGATGTTGTTCAACATGAACTGGACTTGCATTTGCAGTTAAACTCATTTGTTGATGACGGTGGTTTTGCGTTGAAACGTGCAGATCTCACCGTGCAGCAGTTTGGCCCTTTTCGGCATAGTTTGGTCGTCGAAATGGCTTGCGGCTACAAAAGAGAGATAAGTTTCTTGTGACGTTTTAAGGCTGGTTGATCAGGCACTGCGCCGCATTTGAAGCACTCACGCGGATCAGTGTTTTGTGTCAAATTGGGAACTGAATGATCAAGCCATCAAGCTCCTTGAAGCGGGACGGGGGGGTGAACCAAGAATGAATGCCTTTAGACACTACGAACCACAGCCGATTGCCCCATGGCTTCTCGCTCAAGGGCGTGAATCGATCCACGACCGTGGAGGTCTTGATGCATGAGATCGTGTGGGAACGATGGATGCGACCTCCAAACAGAAAAGAAGTACCAGGAGAATGAGAGAAGAAGTACTTGTTGGCATGGGATGTCCTTTTCCCATCAAACCGTTTCACACAAAGACCTACCTACCAGGCCTCTAAGATGCTTCACTTCTGGAAAAAAAGGTCGCGAGACCTACCAGAACTACCTCTTCGCTAATCTTGTAGAACTGCCTCTTGGCACGTCCAAGGCCTTACCGCACAAGCTGGGCGTTCATTGCCAACGAGGGCACAAGCCCGACTCGCCGAACCAGGCAGTCACAGCCGGTCCGCTTGGACTCGGACACAGAGTGAAGACGGGCAGCGATGCCCTTGTTTCTAGTAGTACGGCCAGGAGCCCCTAGTAGCTTCTTGCTCCTAGTAGT